TTTGCCGGGTATCGGAACCTCAAAAACTCTCTCTGGGCACTTGAAGGGTTGTAGTTCGTGGTGGCAGTAGAACTTTAACTTGCTGTCTGGGTTTCTTCAAGCTAGTGGGGTTTGATGACCAGCTGAAGTGGTCATTCATCGCCTTCCTTATTGATTCTTCAATCTTTAGTAGTGCAGCTTTGAGTAGTTGATAGTTGGTCCCTCTTGTGTTGTGGTGTAAGCTACTGTTAGCCTACACGTTGATGATGCTTAGTGCACACAATGGACATTATGGCTGTCTGAATGGAACATCTCAGCTGTCTTTGATCAACTGCATATGTCTGAAGTTTTTCCAGTACCTGTCATTGATTCTTTATCGCGAAACAGCCGATGATTTGATCCCATTTAATTGTTTTTCAAAACAGCCCAAATCAGTGAAACTCATGTCAATCACTGCCCATTAGATTGTTTTTACAAGGAACCAGAACTCTAAAAATATTAAGCAAAAAAAAAGATTTTTAACACAAATTCAAGGGTAGCTCGTTGTAAAGCGCTGCACTACTTGCAGTTCTTCTGCTACTTTTAGATCTCTCCCTAGAAGTTCCCTTCTGACCCCTTGCAAGTGCCTGCCGACAGTATCACCATGGAGCTCGGACAAAAATGGAAATCAAAACTCAACTTCTGTGTCAAACAACCATGTCAGGTAATGCCAGACTCTGGCTTCGACCCACAGACCATCGAGTATTTTCCAGACCCGCAGTAACCCTGAAGAATTCGGTCAGAAGCAGCATGCTCCTCATTGTGTCACATCCAGTAGTTTATAGTGTATAAATTGTGTCCCCCAGGGTCAGGCCATCCATGCTCTACTGCAATATATGGAGAACTTTGGATGGAAAAACCTAAAATCTGGTGCCTGGCAGCTTTGTTCTCTATTCAAGACAAACGTGTCAAATGCTGACAAAATCCAGTGCACGTTGCAGAGAGCCAGATGCGAGTACTCAGAAGGGGAATTTTTAGGAGGGATCTACCAGAAGTGCTGGAAGTGTTGCAGCACTTTACACAGAGACAACTCGGATCTTTCCTCATATAGCCAGAGTTTTGAAACCTTGTCACCCTCCTCACCATCAGTAGTACTGGTCCCCACTTGTTGTCATTACTGTTTCCCATACTTCCACAATGATTCATCAGGGCTCTAATGCCCTGCTCCGCTCTCCTTGTGGCTCCCAGGGGGAGGACAGGCCTTCAGGGAAAGCCGGTTCAGCCCATCCCCAAGGGGAAAACGGCAGGGCTGGGCCCAGCCTTGACACAAGCAGCCAGCCCTTGCCCAACCACTCTCTCTCTCTCCATAAGGCTCCGGAGAAAAGAAAGCAGAAAAAGATTAATATAGACGAAGCTGAAGGTAAAGACTGAACAACCTCCCTCTATCTCTCTCCTTTGTTTCTGTAGCTGTGTGGCTGTGATTACATTAACCCTTTTGCCTATCTGCGATATTACAGAAGCACCAAATGCTTTCAAAGCTAGCTACATGTAGCACAGTCACCTCTGCTTATACTGAATGTAGCTTTGACCTGTCTAATTGATTAACACACAATGCTGCATGTTTACTGAATGAAAATGAAAGTGTATTTTTTAAAGATGTTACATGGGTTATAAATTTGTGTAAATGAATACACTTGTACACACTTTCACGTGTTTGTGTGTGTATGCGCGCTGTGCTCTGTGTGTGCGTGTGTTCCTGCAGAGTTCTTCGACCTCATATCCAAAGCTCAGAGCAACCGAGCAGACGACCAGCGAGGCCTGCTAAACAAAAACGACCTGCAGCTCCCAGACTTTCTGCGCCTGTCGCCAGTGGCAACAAACCAGACTCCACCTGCTCCCCACAACTCTGAACCAAGTTGCTCCACCCCTAATTCTCATCACTCCAACAACGGCAGCTTCCCTCGGAGCGGTCACCGGGGCAATAAGGCAAATGGCGGAGACAGGGGAGGAGGAGGAGGCGGCACCCACTTGCTTAATGCAAGCCATCAGTCCCAGAGCTTGGACTCTGGAATGGGCACTGAGAGTGGAAGAGGGGAGAGAAGCAGACCACCTCCTCCATTTCCTGGCACAGTCTCCCCCATCCACCCAAGTCAGGGAGCCCAGCGAGGTCTCCTCCAGGACTCTGGCAGGGGAGAATCAGTCCAGATGCTGGAGGAGGACACTCTTTCCGATCTGACTCTAGTGGGCGAGGGGGACATTAACAGCCCCAGCCTCAACTACGTCACTCCCTCTTCCCTTCCCAGCAAACCCCACCCCCGTCCCAAATCACAAGCACAGGATGGTCGGCCTAGCTCAGGTACACCCCCAGTGTGAACTCTTTAAACTTTAAAGTTTCACCTCCTTTTTTTTCTTTCACCTGACTGTAAGCGGGACTGGAGTCCTGCCGGAGTCAGTATGAACT